AAGTGTCACTAATTAAACAAGTATGTCTTCAGCTAATTGTCAGCCTCTTACATGTATGCTTCTTATAATTAGTGAATATGCATATAAACAGCCTTTTAATAAACAGAGTAGAATAATCATGGCTGATAGTAAGACATGCAAACGTAAAAGAACACCAAACTGGACACAAGCACAGCTGTTACTTCTTGCCCAACTGCTTAATGAAAACAAGGACATAATCAAAGGAAAATTTGTAGTTGGGATAACCTTCAAAACCGAAGGTGATACCTTTATAAAAGCTCATTATCATCAAATATTTCTAAAATGTTTACGTTCCAAGGCAGATTGCCGGCAACAGCCACTTTAGGAATAGTTTGTGGTTTGGTCTTAGTGACTTAGGACTCCTCTTCACTACTCCTAACGTTTCACAGATTTAGGAGCTAGTTTTAGTGCTAAAATGCTTTGTGAAATACAAACACAAAGATCTTTTAGATCAAACATTTAGGAGTCCTAAATTTAAAACTGACATGCCCATTATTTTTAAGATTTTCTCCTAAATCGGCGAGTTACGAGCTACTTTTAGCCTTCAGGACTAAACTCCTTGAAGTTTTGATTGATCTCCGTTAGATGAGCAAATGCTTCTCCTGCATGAGATCTCCTTCAGAAGAATAACGTCTCCGATGTGAGAGGAAGTGCCGAGAGCTCATTTCACTCTGATCAGGGTCTGAATGAGCGTCTGTTAATGCGGATTCATTGTTTTACTGGAAATAGATCATAACTGTCGCCTGAGATCAAGCCAGCGCTTGTCTCAACACACTTCCAGTAAGTTGAAAGTGAAAGCAACATTTAACTTTATCACACTTACTGAAGTAATTTGACACGGAGCAAGAAATTCTATTCCTTGAAAAATTAAAATGAATTAAAATAAAATTTTTACTAAAAGTAACACTAAACCTATCATGCACTGCTTTAAAACAAAGTTTAAAAAAAAAAGTAAAAAAATTTAAAATATATATTTTCAGTTTTAAAACCACAGGCAGTGGAATTCTCAGATGGGTGGCATAAAGAGGCACAAACTGCCACTGAAATATCATTGGTCGTCCACACTGACTGGCCATTACCATGTCAGAGGAGGGACCTTCAAGAAAGCACAATTAAATACAGCACATTTGTCGACAAGTCCTTCTTGGTTGTTGTTTTTACCATGTTAAATGTCAAACTAGCTGTACACCATGTAGACCTGTGTAATCTGAACTGAACAGGGACAGTTAAATAACATTACACAAAGTCCTGTGTCATGTCTTTAATGCATGTGTTAAATGATATAGAAATTAAAATAAAAGACTAAAATAAAAACTAAAACTAACAAACACACTTGGTAAAATAATTAATCATTAAAAAAGTTAGACAATAATTAAACAGACATACAAAACTAAATGAAAAAGCCATATAATAACCTGTAATAATGGTAACATGACATTTGTTCATTCAGAGACGCCGCTTCAGTGTTGATGGATATGAATGTCTTCATCTGTCATTCACCCTCAGTAGACAGCAGCAGATTTGTCCAGACATGAACAGAATCTCCCCATGCAAACATCTGATGCGTGTTTATAAGCAAGACAAATCTGCCGTAAAAGTTCAGCAAAAGTTCAGTTTATTTCAGCAAAAAACACAAATATATAGTTGAAGTTGGAGTATTTCATTACAAAAGATCTACTTTTTTTCAAAAACAAAGTCAATAACAGAAGCCTGATCTACAAACACATGAACAAAAATAGAAACATAAATATCATAGACAATATATGAATGACAACAAGGTGAAATAAAACTTAAATTTAACATGAAAACTCAACAATGGTGATCTAGGGGAAAATCTTTTGCAGCTCTTCGTGACAAACGCTAATCTCTGCCGTGAACCATTAGATTCACGTGTGTGACGTGACGTTGTGCTCAGGCAAGCATGTTTGTCAGGTGGCTTCATGATCAATGTCGTCAGTCAGTGTGCTTTAATCTGGACAGGATTCCTGACAGGGCGATCCTGATGCGTTTCCATTACTTTAAAGGTATAAACAGCCATTGAATCGATTGTTCTGGATCCAGTATAATATTAACCCATCAGCAAAATACAGTCAGATGTTATGTGCAGTGGAAGATTATGGGACAGACGTGAAGCTTGTATTTAGTTAAAGCCGTTAATTATTTGAGTTGTGAAGTGTCTAAATGAGGTGGATGAAGGTCGCTGATGTCACTGATGAGTTTACTCCTGTAAACGGTGTATGAAAATGAGTTTACCGGCTTTACTTGGTCACAACAGGACTTTACTGGTCTTGGGTTTCTAGCTCATGTTGATCATCTCGTATTTGTCCTTCAGGCTGCTGTCCTCATCTTCCTCCTCATCCTCCTCTTCCTCAGGTTCTTTGTGAGATTTGTCGTTGTGGTTGGAGTGATGAAGCTCAATCAACAGGAAGTAGATCACAGCACCGGCGACGCCCCCTACCAACGGCCCGGCAACAGGGATCCACCACCAGTAATCTGCAGTGCTGCACGCACACACACACACACACACAGCAATATATCACCAAATGATCATAATAGATCACAGAATTATCACAATATAACACCGAATCATTATAATATATCACTGAATCATCATACTATGTCACCAAACCATCACAATATCACTAAAATCATCATAGCACAGAAGCATCACAATTTATCACAGAATCGTCACAATATATCACTGAATTATCATAATATAACACCAAATCATTAAAGGGGTCATGAACTGACTTTTTTAATTTTGTACTGTTCTCTGATGTCCACTTATAATGTAATCAAGATTTTTACAAAAACATCATAATTCAGAAGAAATAGGTTATTTTCTGTCCTGTTTTGACCCCCTCATCTGAACGCTCTGTTTGAATAGGTGTGGCGGATTGTAGACCCAGAAGTAAATGCCCACGTGATTGGGTAACAATTGTGTGTATTTAACAGCTACATCCTTCATAGATGGACACTGCTGTGATTTAGGTTAAAACCCCATAAATACTTCTTCACACTCGCTTGGTGCGACATTTCTGTCAGATCCAATATAGTCGCACAGCATCGTCTTTTAGTTTCAATTTTTCTGAAAATCCTGCGTCGAATTGTGCCTTGTCTGTAAACGAATGTGCAGTAAAATGAAGTGAACAAAGGACCAAGTTCTTACTGATGTGGTATGGAACATAAGTAAAAATAAAGTTCATCCAGTCTTTCCTAATGTTGGGATCAGAAGGAAGGCGATGCAAAGACTTTTTCCACAGCTCGGCACTGAACAGCGTCTTTTTGTCTTCGGAGCATCTTTATCATTCGGTTTCTGTGTAAACATATGCACGCGTTTGCCTCTCATTATTTACACTACATGCGTGAATCGGTGGGCGGGGCTAAACAGGCAGTGCTGTAGAATTGGTGGGTGGGGCCAAACGGGCATTGATGTAGAAGTCAAGTCAAGTCACCTTTATTTATATAGCGCTTTTAACAATACAGATTGTGTCAAAGCAACTGAACAGCATTAATTAGGAAAATAGTGTGTCAATAATGCAAAAATGACAATAGTAAACACTAATTTTTCAGTTAAAGGCAGTTCATCATTGAATTCAGTTGCTCTCTTTAGGGTGCGAGTGTGCTCATTATACCACGGTGTCAGACTGTTTTCCTTAATCTTCCTTAAGCGTAAAGGAGGAACTGTATTTAACATGCTAGAAAAGAGAGAGTCCATAGTTTCTGTTACATCATCAAGTTGTTCTGAGGTTTTGGAAATGCTAGGGAATTGGGATAAATCAGGAAGATTACTTACAAAGCAGTCTTCGTATGAATGCCAGAAGCAGGCATTGATGATCTTCTGTGGAGGCGGGGTTTATCCACACTATTACGTCATAGAGCTGCACATTACACAACCTGTCGTTTTGACAAATTTGGCTTCAATATAAGCTGTTTTAGACTAACGAGAAAGTTTTGAGTTCTGAAACTTACAGGATGTTTTTATAATACAATTACCTCTTATATGTCAAAAGATCAAGGGTATTTAGATTTCTCAGTTCAAGACCCCTTTAAATTATATAAGTGAAAGTGAAGTGACGTGTGGCCAAGTATGGTGACCCGTACTCGGAATTTGTGCTCTGCATTTAACCCATCCAAGTGCACACACACACAGTAGTGAACACACACCCGGAGCACTGGGCAGCCATATTGCTGCAGCGCCCGGGGAGCAGTTTGGGGGTTCGATTCTTGCTCCAGGGTCTCACCTCAGTCATGGTATTAATTCACTCCCCCCACCGACAGTCCCTGCCGGACCTGAGACTCGCACCTGCAACCTTTGAGTTACAAGTCCGACTCTCTAACCATTAGGCCACGACTGGATCATCATAATTTATCACCAAATTATCATAACACAGAATCATTATAATACATCACCGAATCATCATATTTTACCAAATCATCATATCACTGAATCATTGCCAAACCATCACAATACATCACTAAAATCATCATAGTATATCACAGAATCATCACAATATACAGTATAACCAAATCGTCACAATATATCACCAAGTCAGCACAATACATCACAATATATCACTAAAAATCATCTCAATATATCACTGAATTGTCACATTATATCAATGAATCGTCACAATATATCACCAAACCATCACAATATATCACTAAAAATCATGACGATATATCACCAAATCATTATAATATATCAGTGAATCGTCACAATATATCACCAAACCATCATAATATATTACAGAATCATCATAATATATCACCAAACCATGAATTATCACTGAACCATTAAAATATATCTTAGAATCATCATATTATAACACTGAATCATTATATCTCCAAATCATCATAATATATCCCAAAATCATCACAATATACCTCCAAATCATCATAATATATAAGCTAATCGTCACAATATATCACCAAATCATCACAATATATCACCGAATCATCACACTATATCACCGAATCGTCACAGTATATCACCGAATCTTCGCGATATATCACCGAATCGTCACAATATATCACCGAATCATCACACTATATCACCGAATCGTCACAGTATATCACCGAATCTTCGCGATATATCACCGAATCGTCACAATATATCACCGAATCATCACACTATATCACCGAATCGTCACAGTATATCACCGAATCTTCGCGATATATCACCGAATCGTCACAATATATCACAGAAACCTCACAATATATCACAGAATCGTCACAATATATCACCAATATATCACCAAATCATCACAATATATCACTAAAAATCATCACGATATATCACCAAATCATTATAATATATCAGTGAATCGTCACAATATATCACCAAACCATCATAATATATTACAGAATCATCATAATATATCACCAAACCATGAATTATCACTGAACCATTAAAATATATCTTAGAATCATCATATTATAACACTGAATCATTATATCTCCAAATCATCATAATATATCCCAAAATCATCACAATATACCTCCAAATCATCATGATTTATAACCTAATCGTCACAATATATCACCGTCATCACAATATATCACTAAAAATCATCACAATATATCACCGAATCATCACACTATATCACCGAATCGTCACAGTATATCACCGAATCTTCGCGATATATCACCGAATCGTCACAATATATCACAGAAACCTCACAATATATCACAGAATCGTCACAATATATCACCAAATCGTCACAATATATCACCAAATCATCACAATATATCACTAAAAATCATCACGATATATCACCAAATCATTATAATATATCAGTGAATCGTCACAATATATCACCAAACCATCATAATATATTACAGAATCATCATAATATATCACCAAACCATGAATTATCACTGAACCATTAAAATATATCTTAGAATCATCATATTATAACACTGAATCATTATATCTCCAAATCATCATAATATATCCCAAAATCATCACAATATACCTCCAAATCATCATAATATATAAGCTAATCGTCACAATATATCACCAAATCATTATAATATATCAGTGAATCGTCACAATATATCACCAAACCATCATAATATATTACAGAATCATCATAATATATCACCAAACCATGAATTATCACTGAACCATTAAAATATATCTTAGAATCATCATATTATAACACTGAATCATTATATCTCCAAATCATCATAATATATCCCAAAATCATCACAATATACCTCCAAATCATCATAATATATAAGCTAATCGTCACAATATATCACCAAATCATCACAATATATCACCGAATCGTCACAATATATCACAGAAACCTCACAATATATCACAGAATCGTCACAATATATCACCAATATATCACCAAATCATCACAATATATCACTAAAAATCATCACGATATATCACCAAATCATCATAATATATCCCAAAATCATCACAATATACCTCCAAATCATCATGATTTATAACCTAATCGTCACAATATATCACCGTCATCACAATATATCACTAAAAATCATCACAATATATCACCAAATCATCACAATATATCACCGAATCATCACACTATATCACCGAATCGTCACAGTATATCACCGAATCTTCGCGATATATCACCGAATCGTCACAATATATCACTGAATCGTCACAATATATCACAGAATCATCACAATATATCACCAAATCATCACAATATATCACCGAATTGTTACAATATATCACCAAATCATCGCAATATATCACCGAATCATCACAATATATCACCGAATCATCACAATATATCACAGAATCGTCACAATATATCACCAAATCGTCACAATATATCACCAAATCATCACAATATATCACAGAATCGTCACAATATATCACCAATATATCACCAAATCATCACAATATATCACCAAATCATCACAATATATCACCGAATCATCACAATATATCACCGAATCATCACAATATATCACAGAATCGTCATAATATAACACTGAATCATTATATCACCAAATCATCATATATCTCCAAATCATCATTATATATCACTGAATCATCATAATATGTCATTGAATCTTCATAATATATCACCAAATCATCACAATATATCACCAAGTCATACAACAACTAAGATATATAACAGAATCATCATATCACCAAATCATTATAATATATCACCAAATCATCATAATATAATGCCGAATCATTATATCACCAAATCATATAACTGAAATTCATTACAGAATCATTATAATATCACCAAGTCGAGATAAATATAATACTGAATCATTATAATCACCAAATCATATCACCGAATCATAATATCACCAAATTATCATAACACTGAATCATTATAATACATAACCAAATAATCCTAATACTGTATTTCACCAAATCATCATATCACTGATTCATCGCAAAACCATTGCAATATCACTAAAATCATCATATTTACCACACAATCATCACAATACATCAATTAATATATCACTGAATCAATCAAATATGATTGTGCAAGGAGGTTCATTCATTTGATGAACCCGCTGAGAAGACCAGGGTTATTATCATAACTAAAACCATAAAAAAGAAAAACTTTGTCACTTGAAGTAAAAAATTGTATATATATATATATATACACACAGTATATACATATACAGTATAGTAACTGCCCACTTCCCTTTCCTAATTAATGCTGTTCAGTTGCTTTGACACAATCTGTATTGTTAAAAGCGCTATATAAATAAAGGTGACTTGACTTGACTTGACTCTAGAGTACTGCTCTTCTGGGATTAAAGTCAGGGGAAATCTTGGTTGGAGAGAATCATGACTTCCTCTGGTGCTAACCTCATGTGTAGAGTGTGGGTTGGGAAACTATTGTTTTAAGCTCAACCAGAAGGACTCCTCCTCTACAATAATGATCATCCTAATACCTACTTTTCTGAGACATTCTCCATTGCTTATGCTACACTGCTCATCAGTTGGATTTTGGTGACTCATGCCAATATCATCGTTGGATAACTTGAATCAACTGATAGATGATTGTTGGAGTGCTACAAGGATAAAGTTATTGCAACGGACCCTACTATAGACACTGAGAATCTTCAAGCTAAGCTAATTTTGGAGCTCATTCTGGAAAGGAAACTTCTGGTTTGTTTGCTCATCTCTTATTTAACAACTCATCATCTTCATTTTCACCAATGGACAATGAACTCCAAGGATAAAGCAATACTTAATGGACAATTAACAGATAAGCTCTTTTATTTAGTTATTCTTTACTCATTCAGATAGCAAAGGAAAACATACATATAACTGACTTTATGTGCTTACTTTTTGTGTCTTTATGATGGGGTTTTGTGTGACACTTCTTAAATAAACACTTTTGAAACTATTTCTGTGTTTAGCCTCATGGTTTGTGTGGTTCTGGGTCTGGTTAAACCAAAAATAGTCAGTGGAGTCCTCCCTTATGAATTTATTTGTAATTTGCTCTTCTGGGAGTGCTCAGCGGTACCGTTATAATATATATATATATATATATATATATATATATATGGGTGACATGGCAAATCACAATTTTTTTTTTCAGGAAAATCATGATTCATGATTTTATCATGATTCTTTTGTTGGTTTTACTATTTTGCAACTTGTCTGAGCAGTACAGCCAAACTAATTTCCCTATTTAAAAAACAAAGCCTTACAAAGTAACACAATATAAAATAAAATAAATGGCAGATATTTTGGCCTAAGTGGGTGAAGATAAAAAATCTTTATCATTATTTTATCTGTTATTAAAAAATATGAACAAAGATACACATTACAAATACACATAATATACAAATAAAACAAACAGTGCTTTATTTTTCAGGTGTATTTAGCAGTAGCATTCAAGAAATTTAATTAACAAATATAAAAATAAACATTAAAGGGATAGTTCACCCAAAAATGAACATTCTGTCATCATTTACTCACTCTCAAGCCGTTTTAAACCTCAATGAGTTTCTTTCTTCTGTTGAACAAAAGTTATTTTGAAGAATGTGGGAATCAAACATTTGCTTGTCCCCAGTGACTTCCATAGTATTTTTTTCATACTATCAAAGTCAATGGAGACCAGCAGGTGTTTGGTCACCCACATTCTTCAAAATATGTTCTTTTGTGTTCAGCAAAAGAATGAAATTAATACGGGTTTGGGACAACATAAGAGAGAGCAAATAATGACAGGATTTTAATTTTGGGGTGAACGGTCCCTTTATTGACAAGCGGCAGCATGTTAGTACTATTAGTCTGCTGTCACTTTAAGACACGCATCTAAATCCGTTTCACTCTCAACTGTTTACTTTCACTTTATACTTAACAACTGTGTTTATATGTAAAGCTTGTGTGGTTTTGACAGTATTAGCGCAATCAGACATGAACGATAACTCAGTCCAGTAATCAGGCGCTGTTTGACAGGCTTTTTAGTGTGCGCGCTTCAGGTGTACACGCTCAGAAAAACAGCATGTGAATGAAATGTTTAACCGGCAAGACTTTAAAGCACATGCAAATAATGTACTTTTGTGATTGTGAATAAGTGCAGTGTGCCATGTGCGTTACGTAATAATATTACTTTTCTGGAGTAATGAGTAAAGTAAGGCATTACTTTATAAATGTACACATTAATATTTGAGTATGTGAGTTACTTTTCAGTTGAATTAATTTGCATAAAAAAATTAAGTACTGAATTAAAATGAAACATCTGCATGCAAAGCACAGCACTACAGAGTTGGAAGAGAGAGAGAGAGCCGAATGATATCTGCACCCCGCCTCAAGCTAAACAACAAAAGCTTGATTTCAGTTCACGTTCACCACCAGGTAAAACAATTAGTTCGACTGAACTCAACAAACTGGTTGCTGCTTTTATTGTTGAGGACATGCAGCCGCTGTCCACTGTGGAGGCGCCTACATTTCGTAATGTCATCAGCAAAATCTCCGTGACAGGGAAAAGGCCGGGGGCCGTGCTGCCCGATCGCAAAACCTTTAGAAGCTTATTGGACAAAGCATATATGGAAATGGAGACAGAACTGAAGAAAACTTCTGCCAACCTGGAATATGTTTCCACCACTGCAGATCTATGGACTGCTCAGAATAAACGTTTTTTTTGGGAGTTACTGTATACTGGATCGATCCTGCTACTCTGACGATTTCGTGGGAGACACACATACAATACCATCGCAGCAAATTCACAGCTCATTTGCTCTTTGTGGTAAGATAACTGCCACGGTCACTGACAATGGCTCGAACTTTGTCAAAGAATGTTTCAAGCTGATGATGAAGAAGCAGAAAATGATGAAAACGAGGTCATCTTTATGGACTTGCACAAAGTTTTACAAGATGACATTGAGAGCAGCGAAAGCTATGTTCTCCCTCCACAGCACCGGTGTGCATCCCACACCCTTAACCTTATATGCACGAACAACATCAATTTAACGTTACATTTTTGACGGCGAAGGCAGATTGCAAAGCAGTGTACAGAAGTGCAACTGGAAAGTGTTCAGCCTTGTGGTCAAAAGTTAGTCGATCAACTGTGGCATCAGAGCCTGGAGGAATTCAGCAAACGAAAGTTGCTGGTCCCTTCAACTACAAGATGAAACATGATGCGCTTAGCAGAGTCACAGACATGCCCTTAGTGGACCTCAATCAACCCGTCTGGACATCAGATGCATTACGGAAAGAGAGCGTATCAGTTCCTTAAAGATACTGCAAGGTTCTGAAGCCTGTCTGTATGGCACTGGATATACTTCAAGGTGAAGATGACTGTTTCTGCGGCACCCTTCAACCTACCCTTGAAATCCTGATGGCCAAAAGTTATGATTAATTATTCATATTTCCCCATGAGCTGATTCGCTACACTTGGCACTGAAAGAGGGCCTCTCTCATATGATGGCCGACCTCCCAGACCTCATAGTTCAGGTAATTCTGTTCAATTTATTATTATTATTATTATTATTATTATTATTGTAGTTTTATTTTATGTCAAGTCACTTTTATTTCTATAGCACTTTACACAATATAGATTGTTTCAAAGCAGCTTTACAGTGTCAAACAGGACAATAATGATTCAATGATGCAAACAGAATTCAATTTAGCTGTAAAGCAGCTCTGGAGAAAACCGTGGTGTCATCCTCCAGCTCAGTTCAGTTCTCATACAATAGTGGCAGTGCATTCAAGTCAATATGTTTATGTAACTGTTATTCAGTTTCATTCTACTTACTTTTTTCCTGACAAATGTAATTATTCTGGTATGAATGCATGTCTATTAGTTTATAAACTGTGTATCCTAAATCTAAAATCTAATCTAAATATCTCGTAATCTAATATTCTCTTGCAGGCTCTCAGGACACGGTTTAGCTCCATCCTTGACCGTGATGAAGCTTTGCTTGCTGCGGTAACCCTGCCAAAATTCAAAGGAAAGACATGACAACATCAAGATGGTTCTGGCAGCACAGTGTCGTGTTCTCACTGTTGAGATACCACAGAAAGAGCCTCTGCAGTCTGCAGTCTTCAAGCAGAGACCATGAAAATGACTTCTTTGCACTTCCTGAAGAGGAGAATCGACATGACGAACAAGCAATTACTTGGGTCTTGGGGTCAGAGTCATTCGTTCTTTTGTTACGTGATGTGACCGCAGTATTGGATACAGAAATTAGTTCATCATACAACATAATATACAAATAAAACAAATTCAAAGCCTTAATACAATATTAATGAGGCTAAAATAAAACTGGTGAAGAACAGCTGATGATTACTGATGATTAATGTACTTTTAACATCATGTGTTGTTTCACAATTATACTACAGATTTATTCTGCTTCTGTGAGCATTTGTTTAGGGTTCAGAAATGGATAATATCATTAACCTAATCGAAAAACGATGGAAGTCTATGTGACGAGCTCACTAATGCAGTCAAACAATCATAATGTGAAGCTGCACGTTCATCACATTTACAGCTCTTGATGAGTGCATGTGATATTATGTAATGAACTGATCAATAGTGTGTGTGAGTGTGCAGCACGTTAATTAGACTGTCAGAGCTCATTAACTCAAACGTAACTGATGCTGTGACTGAAACTTCTAAACTCACCACTGAACTCAAACCGCTCGCCTGGTTCTGATCAAATACTACAGTGAAACATGATGCTTGTTAGAGCAGAATCAAGATTGAGTGACACTGGAGTCTCAGTGATGCACTTCCGTCTCAGGTCTAAATCTGATGCGCTCGCACCTGAACACCTCCATGCCCCACCCAGCGGCGGCGGTGAAGAGGCGCGGGCCCAGGTCTCTGGCGGGGTTCAGAGGGTAACCGCAGTTCAGCCCCATGGAGACGCTGATGCCCAGCAGGATCAGACCCACAGCCAGCGGCTCCACGCCTCGAGGAGCACCCATGTTCCTGCCGTCCACAACCGCCAGAATACAGAGGACCAGCATTCCCGTCCCCACCACCTGATGACAGATGGACATCGCTTATTGAGCGGCCACCGAACTACCCTAACATAAACAAACAAACTTAAAGGGGTCATGAATTGAGAAATCAACTTTTACTTCAGCTTTTGCTATATAAGAGGTCATCGTACTAAAAGAATGTCCTGTAAGTTTCAGAACTGCAAACGTCCTTGTTTCTGAAATAAAAGCTTTTATTGAGAGCAGGCCCAGTGAGCGCCAGATCCTGGAATGTGCCTGCAATAGATAGGTTAAGCTCCGCCTCCACAGAAGAATATCAACGCCTAATTATGTAGCCCCGCCCACTGATTCACACATGACATAGTGGGGAAATAACATGAGTGGCGCTAAACCGGATCGAGCAGCCAAGCAATAAACATGCTGTTAAAGATCGCAGACTGTGCGGTGCCTGGTTGTGGAAGAACACAGTCGCTGCATAACCTTCCTTCAGATTCAAATATTAGGAGTGCGCGGGTGAGTTTTATTTTTACTGAAGTTTCAGCTCACGTGAGTAAAAAACATTGAGCGATTGTTCGCTTCATTTCACCGCGGATTCCTTTGTAAACAAGACACAGGTCGACGCTGGATTTGCAGAGAGACAGATTAAAAAGCAATGCTGTGATATAATCATTTTGCATTGCATGCAATTGCATTTATTTACAGTGTTTAGTATAATTCTGTTCATTGCGGGAAAAAAAATTGATTTATTTCGTTAAAAAGTGTGAACATGGTTAAAATATGGCTAGCTGTGGAACAAGCAATATTCAAATAGATAAATGTAAGAGATTATTGATGATAAATATATAAAGCTAGTTATTGTGTATTTAAAACACATTCAGTTTGTTAGTACTATTACAGAAATCTGATCGGTTTCATTACGCACGTTATAGACAACAAATAAAACATTTTCTTCAAATGTGACATTTTCTTGGACTGAAATATATAGGCCAAAATATATTTTTAAATGCTGTAATAAATATCTATTTATATTTTTAAAATATATTTTCCAAAATGTAGAAAAAAAATTGTCAAAATTATACAGGTAGAAGATATGTTTCCTTAACAATATTTTGAAACATATATTAGCAAATATGTATTTTTTTGGCCATTTTTGTGTACTTTAAGTAAATATATTTACATTTTTGCATTTTTTTATTTGTAAATGCTTCACATTAAGTTATGAGTTTGTTAAAACTGTGTAATTCAAATGCATTAATTTCAAATATAGGCCTAACTCTTTTGTCGAGTAATTCAAAGCATGACATGTTTATTTGGGACAAAAGGAGCTGAATTAGGTCACGGGTTCAAGCCGAATTGGTGTGTTTCTGGGTAGAAGCGTTCAGTCGCTCGATGTGCATTAGTCAAGCGCTCATCTGGTTACTGGCCTCAGTCTGCGGCTGTGAAACAGACTAAATGTGTGCTTTCAGTTCAGTGATGTAGCTACAGACAGACTGACCTGATCCACGAATCCGCCCAGGACCGTCAGGTGTCTGCCTGGGTACGAGGCGAAGATGTGTCCTGTGGCGTTAATTCCTGTGACCGACAGGATCCCGCTGGTGAAGTCCATGAAGGCATCTGAACACACACACATGCATGAATCAGATCCTAAACACAGGAAACCGCTGGATTCCTCAAACTCACCGTAATACAATCCAAAGACTGCAGCCGCTCCGACAAATGCGCCCAACATCTGCGCCGTCACGTAGATGGGGAACTTCCAGATCTTCAGCTTCCCCAGGATGACCATGGCCAGAGACACGGCGGGGTTCAGGTGACCGCCTGAGGAAACGCCAAACAGACAGACATCTCCAGGCGAAATATATTTGAAGTATATGCTAAATATACATTGTAAACAGTGAAGCTCAATGGAATATAGTTTTTAAATTGAAAACATATTTAGTTTCACCCTTTATATACCAAAATATATTTCAAAATGTATTTCAGAGGCAAGAAAACACAACAGGCTACTGTAAGACTGGAAATGTGTGTTATATGTTCACACATGATATAGACAAGAAAGTTTTTCTTCAGATGTGACATACTCAATTATTACGCACACACACACACAACACTACATGTGCGCGCGCACACACACACTCACTACACCATGTGCGCACACACACACACACACACACATACTCACACACACACTCACTACACGTGCGCACACTCACTACACACGCACACACACACTCACTACACATGCGCACACACACACACACACACACTCACACTACATGTGCACACACACACACACTCTCACACACACTCACTACATGTGCGCACACACACATGCACACTCACTACACACTCACACACACACTACATGTGCGCACACACACTCACTACACGTGCGCACACACACTCACTACACGTGCGCACACACACATGCACACTCACTACACACACACTCACTACACGTGCGCACACACACTCACTACACGTGCGCACACACACTCACTACACGTGCGCACACACACTCACTACACGTGCGCACACACACTCACTACACGTGCGCACACACACTCACTACACGTGCGCACACACACTCACTACACGTGCGCACACACACATGCACACTCACTACACACTCACACACACACACACACACACACTACATGTGCGCACACACACACACACTCACTACACGTGCACACACAGACACACACACACACATGCACTCACACACACTCACACACTCACGCACGCACACACACACACACACACACAGAGAGACACTCACTCACA